AAGTTGAAGATGAAGAAGATCAGTCGCTTCCGATAAGTCCAGTAGAGCTGATGGATCTTTTAGCCAAGCAGTCAAATCCGCCCCCCCCACGTACCAGAAATGATCAGCTGGTGATATGGAGAATGAACCACTGGGTGAAAACTCAAATGATGCCTCACTTACAGAGAACAAAGGAACAAGTGACAAGGATTCAATCCTTTGGGAGAAGGCTGGAACAGGACATGGGAGCCTCCACCAGTTGACAAAATCATATTTAACTTAGAAATGTTGAAAGCAATCAATGCATTACTTCCACAAATTAATATCCCAAGCTGGGTCAAACGAGCAATACCGGTTCTTGGCAAAGCTTCATTTGGAAAACTCAAGGCTGATGAGTGGAGAAATCTGTTCACCATTCAACTACCTTCAATACTCATTCCAATATGGTACGGTCAATACAATGTGCAGAGTTTGCTCAGTATCAAAGTTGTTACTACAAAAATGATAGTTCGGAGTCAAAATGAGTGTATCAGAAGACAGAAATGATAGTTTGGAGTCAAACTGAGTGTATGAGTATACAGACAAAGCAGTTGAGCATATTGGAAGATGAATACACTCTTTTTGAATCCAAAGTGAGTGTATCAGAAGATGTAAATAGCAGTTTGGAGTTGAAATAATGTACTGCTTTTTCTGGCTTCTGATACACTCATTTCAACTCCAAACTTCTTTTTCCGTCGTCCCATGCACTCATTTTGACTCCAAACTGCTTTTCCCGTGTTGTGATACACTCATTCTGACTGTGATATGCTTTTTACGTCTTCTGATACACTCATTTTGACTCCAAACTGCTTTTTCAGTATTCCAATACTCTCATTTTGACTTGAAAAATGTTCTTCATTACCCTTCAGACCAGTCTGGAGTTTTAGGCACTGGATTTATAGTGCCTACATATGCAAGACTGCACGTAGGCACTTATTTGAGCTGAAAATTGAATGTAGGCATAACCAAATGATTCCTCCATGGGTTTTTGAACATGTAGGCGTCATTTTGGATGGTTTCCAGTGCCTACATCATAAACGTAGGCGCTTTTTTTGGGAACCACCCATGTAGACGTAATTTGGCCAGTACCAGATGGTTTTCTTGCAGGCTGCAAATAGCAACGGCCTATCAAAAAGACACTTGTCTCCTTGTTACATCAAGGAACTTGGAGAAAAGTTTGTACCGTCCATTCATGTCTCAACTCACACTCCTACAGACTCAAACTTCAAGGTTCTCATGCCTTGGAAGGCTGATGAGCCATCCTTGAGCGGCCATTATCAAAGCCCTATTGGTGCTCTAATATTGTTTGCCCAATGCACCAGAGTAGACATATCTTTTGCTAATATAAGTCCTTTGTCACAGTTTTTACGTGATCCTTCTGAAGCTCACTTGCTTGCTGCTGTAAGATTCATGAACTATCTCCTCACCACCGCTCATCTCAGTCTCACTCTTGGTGGTCCATCAACTATTTCTGTGTACTCCGATTTGCATTGGGCCAAAGATCTACACAACTGTAGGTCCACATCTGGCTATACTTATCATTGGGGGCAGAGAGCTATATTATTGTGGAGATCCCGCAAGCAGGCAACAGTATCTCTCTCCAGTACAGAGGCTGCATATAAAGCACTATCTGACTCAATCTGTGAAGGCATCCAGCTCAAGACCTTAATGTTTGAACTTTGCATCACCACTCCCCCAACAATTCCTTCTCACGTAGATAATGAGAGAGCAGAAGGGCTAGCAAAGAATCCTCAGCACCATTCAAGAACCAAGCATGTTCACACAAGGTATCACTATGTTTGGGAGTGTGTTCAAAACAGATCTATTCTCATAAGACATGTTGCTTCAAAAGACATGTTAGCTGATATGTTGACCAAACCCTTAGGCTGTGTATTGCTTCAGTCTCATAGAACCCTGTTTGGCATTGGGTGAATTTTTTTGTTCCTATTTTTCTCTTTCTGTTTTTTTTGATTTTTTTTCTTCTACATTGCTATCTCATTTAATCTATTTTTTATTTCTCTCTCAATTTTTTTTGAAGTGTTTGATGTACTTGTTGTACACAAGGGGGGTGTTGGGATAGTCCTGCGTGACTTTCAATCTATTATGTAAAAGTCCTGCAAGACTGACTCGAGATACATAGATTCCAAGTGTGTGCCTAACAAACCTGTTACGTCATGAGAAATTTGTTATGTAAAAGGTTCTCTATATATCCTACTGGAGCAGCTAGGGAAAGGTGCTTCTTCTTCACCTTTCCTTTGTCTCTTTCTCTGACTGCTGCAGAGCTCATAACTGACCTCTGACAACTCAAGGTAAGAGAGGCCAGGAATGCTACACAGCGCTCCATGAGCTGGTCGTGAAATTTTAGGATAGGAACAACCCTAAGTTTGGGTTCTAGGAACCCCGACAGTCCGTGAGTTCACCTTGAGGATATCATGGGTTTTACCCAACCTGTTTTCTGTTTCCGGAGTCATCCATTTTTTTAATGTAACTTGAAACACTGCAAATCATTTGGTCGACAACGTGAGGTCCTTTCCGATTATGAAAGAAACAGGTTGGAACTCGGGAGACACGAAGTCCCAGATTTCTAAGAACAAAGTAAGGTGTGCTCCTGTTTTACAGAAACATGGTTATCATCGCGAACCCCTGAAACACACATATGTGAGTTTAACTCTATGAATGGACATTCAGCTGGGAAGGGTCTGAGAGGACATGCTGGATGATTGATGGAATGATCATGATCCAACGGAGCAGGAAACCTTGAAGAAAGAACAAAGCAGATTTTTGATCAGACGGATATCATGAAGTTGGTTCAAAGGAGATAACACTTACTGTACTTTTTTGACTCCATCTGCTTTGTTCAGTGTTCCCCTCAAAAATCTATCTGGTCGAACCCATTTGCCCAAACGATCCAAGCGGATGAGACTAACAAGCCTCTTGTATATAATGATGGACTCGCTCGCAAAAGAAAAGAAAATGAACACGGTAGATCCTGAAGTGACGAATACCCAGTCACGGGATTTCAGCTCATACAGAGGATTTTGTCGGACGTCTGAAAGCTATGACGAAATAACATAAGGATTAAAAACTCCCTGAAAGATACGCAGGTTTTTAATTGACGGACTGATGGATATGTTCACCTTGTTATCATCATTGTGTATTGTCTGCCAAGAAGTCCAAGGAACGTAAGGTCCGGTATCGTAGACTGTGGTAATAGTTCCCAAAATGGTGACAGGTGCCGAGATGCATAAATACGTAGCGGCGAGGGCACACATGCGGACAAACCGGGACAGATTTAAGGGTGTTTGGGACTTTGCAACGAGTGCTTTGAGATTCGTGTGCTGGCGAATCAACCAATACAGCACATACACTTGCCGGTGTGCAAAAAGAATAATAAGTCACAGTTCGCCAATCGTTCTATCTCGCCATCTCAGTTCGATATAACCCACCTGAATAGCCGCAAGACACTCCACAGAGAATCGGAGACCACATCAAGACGATGAATATTCCCGGCCAGGTAAGGGCTGACACATTGGAACAACCAACCAACTTATATACTTGATATCTAGAGACTTGGACGATCAATGACGCCAAACCGATCAATGCAGGAATCCCGAATGACATGCTGTAATCGGCCACCATCCTTCGTCTGGCTGTTTCGCGACATTCGAGAGCCTTGTTGGGAGTTACAATGTGAGCCAAGTATCGGATGATGCACCAATTCGAGATCAGGAGACCGAGTGGACCGATCAAACCCAGCTGTGTGATGGAATTACCAGTCAGCCGTGCGAGCTTGTCACCATGAGGAGGACTTGCGACCTGCCTTGGCCGAAATGTCGCAGAATATTGGAGCACGATCTATAGCGTCATGTGGCCATAAAATACCATTAATCTACCCAAGAAGAGGCGACTTCAAAATTCAAATCCCGCCAGGAAGCAAAAAAGTATCAACTCACGAAGGCTAAAGCATTGAGTACCACGACCCAGATACCAAAACATGCAGGCCCCGAATGACCTTGTAACATGTGAGATACGGTGGGGACTACGTTTATCAAAGAACACAGGAAGGACAAGAGAAGATACAGTATGAATGCTGTGGAAGGCATTGCTAGAGTGCTTCAGCGAAAGATTCTAGTATGAGGCATGGCGCGATTATCCTCCAGGAAATCGCTTCGTTTTGTACCTAAACCATGTGTAATTTATGGTGCTCGATGCATGTGACTCCCATTCATCAACTCCAAGTATGGTTCCAAAACACGGTGTACAAAACAATGTAGGGGGTTTCGCTGCGTCGCCTTTCAAGTTCGACGATGCAGGCGATCGTGATCATTTGCCTTTCAGAGAACATACCGTCTGATCGTCATCCTACCGTCTACCGAAGAAATCATGGACTGAGCGTAATGTCAATGCTTCTTGCTATGCGTTCATTTGAGAGAATAGCCTTATCAGTCTTCACGTGAGAGGGCGTGAGACTACAGACCGTACAGCTCCGTATACAGCCGTTTGGGTTGATCGAGACGCAGATGCATGCGTCTTCTTTCGCATCTTTCCTTTCGCTGCCCGACCTGTCGGATGTGTCTTTGTCGATTTGATGACTCTCGATAGCTCTTGATAGCTCTCAATATCATTTATTTCTGTTGTTTCATTTTGGTTTCGTTTGATCAATCATCGTTATGCTTTTTAAACACACTGCCCACAGAATCAAGTCCACTACAAAAAAAAGTTGATTTTCCCCGGGGAATTTTGGTTTCAGATTTGGGAAAAATCACGTGATCTCTGTACACCGTGTACATTACCCATACATCTTGATCGGCCGTACAGCTCTGTGCGCTCGGTCCCATGTACGGCGTGCCTTCGTCAGACGACTGTACACATCCACCAAAACGGGCTGAGCCATCGGTCGCGTCCAACAGCTCGAAACGACATATTTTGAGCCAATTGCAAACGGCTGTTTTCATCCAGTCGTTGTCGTTGTTGTCACTTTTGTAATATACTGATTAATGGCTGTCACAAGGATGAGAACAAAACAAGTGCGAGCAGTTAAATCACTCATCTACTTTTCCTTCTTCACAATCTTTCTCCAATGCCTCTTTGATTTTCAATACAAAGATAAGTTCGATGGTTCCCCTTATAGATCAATCTCAGCAACTACCTCTTTCCCCTTTGTTGGTTTGTTTTTGTGTGTTTGGATCTTTGTTGGACCGCACCACAAATAACAGGAATGACCTGCCTTGCCACCCAGCCAATCATCTCATTCACTTCATTCACAACTCAGTCATCCTAGGTCCATCGCCCTCTTGAAGATACCTGATATCTCACCCAGAAAGTTGACTATCCAACAAAGGAAAGCAGTCGGAGATCCCACTACTGCATCGTCATCTGATGATTCATTCTCGCCACCCTCACCTCATACAAATTGAACGTCTAAGGAAGTGACCATTAATTGTTACGTATGAAGACAATCCACAAGATTCAATACTCAAGTCTTCAAATCTCCTACTCAACTTGATTTTCTTGATTCTCTTGATTCTCATATTCCTTTCTATGATCGTCATCGTCATTCAATCGCTTACATTTTTAGAAGAGCAGAGTCTCTCCAAAAATATTATCAATTTTGATTCAATCGATTTGAACATATATCCACTATCATTTAGTCGAGATTCAGTTATAAGTACCTCTGCCAAGTGATTTTGTCTAGAGATTCAGATTGACCCGAAGGATGAGTGTGGGCGGGTAGGTTATCAAATTTATTTGAAGTGAATGGCCTAGCAAAAATTGTTTTGTGCTAGCTGAGTTAGTTTAATACAGACAAATAATGCAGCAATAGATAGAGAGACCAGTAAACAACATCAGTGTCATGGCATGAAATATGATGTCCAGGATCTGAGTCTGACAGTCGTGAAGAAAAATCAAGGGACCCCGGAGTGAGGGACGACAACGACAAAAACAGCTGCTTGCAATTGTTTCAGTGAAATGTTGTTTGGAGTTGTTGGACACGACTGATACATGAACCACCTGTCCTTCGTTTCTTGGCCTGCCAATGCCAGGAGATGGTGTTCCAGCCTGAGATTGAATTGAAGGGTCCATAGAGACAAAGATGGATGAGACACATTGTGGTATCAGTTCGACTGACAATGGTGCCAGTGGTGAGGATGTG